GACACCAATCCCTGGAATGACACATTTCTCCTCAACTCAAATCATCATCCCTGGATCACACAACAGGAATCTGGGAGGGCAGGCTTCTATGTGTGTGTGTGTGTGTCATAGGTGTGTTACATAAGATGTAGCTTCTTTGTACTCTACATGGTGGGAGAAAGAAAAATCACAGAAGACACATTCTGCCTTTGTAATAATTTATTAACTACTAAAAACGTGATTTTAGTAGCTTTATAGCTTAGTAGGCTTTAGTAAGCTTTAGTAAGCTTTATAGCTTACCTTAAAGGTCTAGGATCATTCACGTTGCTAGTGATAAAAGTATGAATAAAGTCCTGCTCCTTTAAGGAGCTTACGATCTGGTATGAAGACATAAGTATAAACACATGCCTAAAATCTTGTGTTACATGAACTAATTTAGACAAAAGTTCAATACAGACAGGGATAAGAAAGAAGAAGAAAATATTGTTCTGCTTTATATTCAGTTTGCTGTTCACTGAAATGACAAAAGATGTTTTAGCTTTTCCATGTGAACCATGTGTTCTCACAAATATGAGGTAGTAGCAAGAATCAAGTCACAACGGCACAAGGAACATACAATGCGCTAATGGAACTACACACAACACCATGTCTAGGTAAAGGATCCTGTGCTGAGATGATAGACAAATGCAATATTGAAGAAAGTGATTATGGAGTGATTCTGCATTTAAATATTTGGCCCAATTTAAACAACAAAACATTTTATTCACTAATTGTAGTTTTTTTTTTAATTACTTACAAATGAAAGGCACATACAAAGGTATCTCAAAATGTATTTCTTACATGCCAAAGAATTGTCTGTGTCCACTTGCCGGAGACCAGCTCCGCAGGATTCGTTGGACCTGAATAGGTGGTGTGGCTTCAGCGAGGAAAGAAAAGACACGGACCACGATGTCTAGTGCATCAGTGGACAACAACCATAAGAATCTTGCTTTACTTATATATTTTTTTACTTAACCTTTTACATAATGATTTATCTTTTAATCAAAACATTTCTTGTTTTGTTTCTATTGAAAAAGAAAGGTCAAAACGTTCCAAGGCACTCATGCTGTGACAAAAACATCTACTCATGCATCAATAGTTCACCCCAAAGCCTGTGGCTTGTGGCCAGGAAACTATACAACAGCAGCATGCTTGGCTTTAAAGAGCATCACGCTTTTAGTTTAAACTATAGTTCTTAACCTTTTTAACTTACAATTTAACCCTTTTTTAATATTACTTATACTTACTATGCTTGATTTTTTTTTCCTTTTTGTCCTTTTTCGTGACCGGCAACGGGATCGCAACCCTCGGTGTCGCGCCCGCACCACGCTCAACCAGTGAGCAGACGGTCTCTACATGGGATCTGAACCCTTGGCGGGAGCGCCGCCGCACTCCCAAGTGCCGCACTCTACCGAGTGCGCCACCG